GCAACAGATCAACGAAAATTTAGAAAGAGATTTATATGAACAAGACAGATAAATGAATACTCATACTGTTTCTGTTCAATATACACACAAAAATAACAACAAAAACTATTCATTTACATATTACGTTCATGAGGTTCTTTATAATCCATTTGAAGATAATCAAAAATATCTCGCTCAGATGTAACTGGTAGCGGTTTACTTAATGTACCGGTTGATCCAACCTTTTGAATTGAATATTCATTCAATTTATATCCTTGTTCTTGTGCAACAATACGCATATGACGATTGAGTTGATCATTTCCAGTAAAATAAAGCAATGCACAATAATACTGTTCACTCGGAAATACTCTGTTAAATACAAATAAATATTCTTTTCTTTTTCATTTAATTGAAAATATACCGTATATCTATACGACGATGTAATTTACTTGTATCAATTTGGCAAACACCCTTTTTATAATTAAAAGCTTGAAAACAATTGAAATAAATAAAAAAATATTTGTATTTACCATAAATTTTGAATCCCCAATAGAAATAGTATCAGTTATGAAATGAAATTGTTTTGTTAATGTTTCAACTATTTTATGAAGTAAGGAAGGTAATTTCGCTACTGCTGGATGTGTAACTAATACATCAATGTCGGAGCTTGCAGTGGCACCTATTAGACAATATGAAAATATTCTCAAAAATTAATTTCACTATTTACCTCGTCGATAACTACCGACGATTTCTGCTCTTAATAGATTATCCATTGCAGTGATCTCACGCAAAAGAATTGTCTAAAAATATATATGATATTATTTCTTCTGATAAATAAGGAAATTATAAAATGTACCTCCATTTGTTTTATTTCATCTCGAGGGATTTTTTGTTCGAATTCTTCGAGATATTTTAAACCGAGTTGTTGTGTTTTATTAAGTAATTGATCACGTTTTGGATGTGATCGTAATTCATCGATAGATGTGATTTTTTCTTGATGAACAAGTTTATTGGCATGAGTAGGACTAAATAAACGACAGAGATTTATCATTATAATTTTCACAATCATAATTCTCTATCACTTCTATCGTATTATTACTTCAAATAGAATATGAAAAATTATCAACAGATGATAATTCATCTCGAAAGAAACATTGTTTATTAATCGCTAATCTTTTTCACTTGTTATTCGTCTCTATTTTCTTGTTGTTATCAGATTATCATTTCATTTCTTCTTGTAGATAATCTATACTAACTTATCGATTTTGATAGCCTCATACAAATATATTTTTCTTGTTGTTCAAGTGTAAATCAAATTACATAATTAATAGCTCATAGTAGTAAAAGATGAGTCTATCTTATGTTATACTATTACATCCGATTAAATGAATTTATACGAAATATTCATCAAACAATTAGATTGAGAACAGAATCTGACAAATATCATATTTCAACATGCAGCAATATATTACAAATCATATTTATCACAAAAACTGATTCTTCATATTGCTGAACTACTGTGTATGTGATCAAAAACGTACACTTATCGGTTTATGATATTGATTGTTGAAAACAAATTGTACGTTGTGACCATTTTCTATAAAAGTACTAGGAATCAAACAAAAACGTTGGCTTAGCATCAATTAAAACTCAAATCGATGAATTTTCTCATTAGAACAATTTATAGATCCACAGAAATATAGTTGAATACCAAGAATCATTAAAAAAACAATTGTTCTTACCCAATTCCCATAACACGTGTCATTTGATTAATAGCTGCACCTGTTTCATCGCCTCGATTCGTTTCTAGTTTCTTAATTTTACCAGTTGATAGGTATTGTTCAATTTTTGCTGCAATCTTTTTACCTATTCCTTCCTTTTAGAATACAAGAAAAAAATGCAAAGATGAGATATCAATTAATTTTATTGTTCTAATCACGAATATTCTTACTAATCCTTTAATATCTGTTATTGATTGAATTTTGTGATCAATTTTAGCAATGGAACTGGCTGCTTTTCGATATGCATTATATTTATGTATCATGCGTGAGACATTTTTTTCATAATCAGCTAATTCTAATTTGATTTAAACAAAAGAAGACTAATAGAAACAAGATTAAATCAAAAGTAAAATACCATGAAGGAAATCGATTAACTCCGAATTTGGATTTTCGGCAAGCTTACGTTTAGCTGCCATCGTCGGAATAAAAAATCAATAAAAAATAACAAATGAATTCGCATCTTTATATAATTAGTTTTTCATTGTCAGTATTTCAAATGACGGATGCAATAACTATTTCATGGGTTATGAAATTTTGCCAACTATTCACTATCCTCTTAGATAGATGTCCCTTATAGACGGCTATTAAGAGCAACTTGGAAAAATATTTTTTTCGGTCTGCTGTCAATTTAAACCATATTTAAAGCTATCCGTCACTTCATTGAATCTATATTTATGAATACTTGAAAGTAATTGAAATTACAATGTTGCTTTTTTACAATTTTCATTGAATAATTTTTTAATTGCGTGTTTTAGAACTGCAGCGTGCATTACAAAAACAATAGAAACTGTTCTGTTTCACTGAGATACAGTACAGAATTTATTTAATTTAAGTTTCAATTAGAGATTGTTATGATACTGAATGTTGACAGATTCTATTTACGTTCTGACATTATACTTGATGCTTATTTCATATAATGTTAGTTTCTATACGTGGTTTTAACATACTCTAGTAATTACCAAACGAACTTTGCAAATTAAATCATATCCATATATCAATTATACATATATGTATATATTTAGTTAAATACATCTTAACTTGAATTCTTTTGCTTGTTGAAAAATAATGTAAACTAGAATGATTGTCATGTTTGTCATAGAGCATTCGACAAGCGATATAATATAAATTATAAGATCATGAATCATTTGATACAATAGAAGAGGGGTTGACAAAAAAAGTTCTATGTAATTATGATTATTCGCATAGTCCATCTTTATGTGTCCAAAAACACTTTTTGAGATTATATTCATTATTATTATCACTTAATCTTATTTGAGTCATACAAACAGTGTTTCAAGATTTTTAAAATCAATAACTATCATATGAAACATCCGTACATCTTATCATCAACAACACTTGTGATGTGATATCGAAATTACATAAGACAATAATATTATCTTGTCAAACTACGAGGATCAACAATATTTTGTTCTACAATAGAATATCTCACAAGAATTTCAACTATTGTAAGAGTTGAAATAGTTAACCGAATGGAATTGGTATCAATAATCAAATGATAAAGTTACGGTTGAAGTTGATTTCAATCATCCGTCGATATTTTTTGATAAAGATACATTCAATTTTGTGATTGACAATAATTTCATTTCAATGGTTTATCAATATAATAAGCTACAACAAACTATAATGAGAATACTAATACTAATACTAATAAATATTCCAAGATTTTTAAATCGATTTTAAATTGATCGCTATTAATTATGTCATTACTTTTGTCTTTATATTCATTGATGAAAAGTCTAACGAATAAATGGCAGGCGAATTGAACATCAAATCAGTTTAATGTGAAATGAATACAACACAATACGACAAGTGATCTTCATATGAAAGAGATCAAATGTAGTCGATTTAGTCAATTTTGATAAATTCCATAAATATTTGAAAATAATGGTGTGTAAAAGAATATTTTTTGTTTATACCAAATATATCAGATTGAAAATGTCTTTATTTTGAAGAATATGAAAATATTTGATCAAGCTTATAGAGTAATAAAATAGTATTGTATCTCACAATAATCAATATGGGAGTTTTAAAATGTGAACATCAGTTTTGTTTTTATCTACGTATAACTATAGGATAAATTTAAATGCGAAAAAGAAAGTGATTTCAGAATGTTGAAATACGATTCCAGTACGAGCCCAGTGTGATACTTTTTCGGACTTCATGAACACTTCACAAATACTTCAAAGCACTGAAATGGCGCTTGCTATTTGCTTGTCACAACTATGTTCTCATAAATTATACGCAAATTTTTCCATTCCACATTTTTTTACTTATTTTCTACATATAATTAACTTAGCTAGTAAATTATTTTATCGTTTTGTGTTCAGTTAGAGTATAATTGCTTTTAAATTTAATCATTATTTTCCAAATAACCCTCAACCTATGATTTGATTAATATATCTACAAATCAAAATGGTTTTTATTTCAAATAGTTTTCAATTATTTCATACTTGTGCATCTAGAGATTCATGTCCGTTTTCAATAATAATCCATCATACAGAAGACAGCCGTTGGATTTATTATTTAAAAATTTTATTTTTTATAGAATCTGTAGATAAATTACATTATTACGGTTTGATTCTATCGAGTGAAATAAATATAATTCGAGCTCTGCATGAGTAACGTAAGTAAAAATACATTAAAATTTTTAATTTAAATATGAAGACGTCTTAATTTAATGATTCCTTTTTCAGTTAAGCTAATAACTTCTAACATTGGATTGAATTTAGCATAAAAAAACAACTTTTCTTCGAGTCTCAGCATGAAAAATAACAAAAACAAAATAATTTTACCTGTATTATACGAATAAAATCAATGGATCAGTTTATTGATAATTAATTTCAAGAGTTTTTATTCTATTGAAAAAAGCTACACTAACGCAAAAACAGAACATTTTTCACGTTATTCAGTGAAAAGAACATGTCGAAAAATTTACGCATAGCAAAGAAAAAAAGAGGTACCCGAAGAGATATGACTCTTCTATATTTGTATAGAATGTATGCAGATTACATATTCTTTCGTTTTTTAGTCTTTCTTTTTGCTCTTATCGATTTTCTATGATTAAAGCAGCAGCTGAGAACAAGAAAGAACGAAAAACTGCGTTCGTATTAAGAATAGCAAGGGAAAATGCAAGTCATTGAAGACACTGCAATTGTCATTGCTACACTTCTTTTTGTTCTTGGCATTTTACGTTAAATAATACATCAAAAAAACACAAATATGACTAGTATTGCAAAATTATTTGATGGATATATCGTGAATAAATCAAACGAAAATGTTTATCTTTCTGATGAGAAATATAAGGGTAAAGTCTTTGGACTTTATTTCAGTGCACATTGGTAGGATTCATAATTGATATACAAAATATTGTTTTTGAAAATATTTCTTTTTTTTCTTTAGGTGTCCGCCATGTCGTGGTTTTACTCCTATGCTAATTGAATTTTACAAAAATCATGGTAAAGAAAAAAACTTTGAAATTATATTTATCAGTTCGGATCGTGACGAAAAAGCATTTAATGAATACTTTAAAGAAATGCCTTGGTTGACATTACGTTATAGCGAACGAAAGAAAAAGGAAGAATTAGGAAAAAGATTTCATATTACTGGTATTCCAACATTAATGTTACTTGATGGAGACTCAGGAGATGTTATTTGTAAAGATGCAAGGGATAATATTCAACATAGAGATACACGTGGTGATTTTTTTCCATGGAAATCATAATTATTTATTTATCGAATTAGAACAATCCCTTTTCCTTCGACAAATAAAAAGAACACACAGATTCAAGTTGAACAAGTTTTTTTTGGATCTCATATTGTTATGTATGAAAATAAAAATTTAGTTACAATGCTTTTTATATTTTATATTTGTTTTAAGTCATGTTTATTCTCATCTTGATTGTTCTTTTTAAACCTTTACAGAAATATTTCTCTCTTTTAACTAGATACGAAAACAAATGAACAACATTTAGTAATCATGAATAATTCAGCATGGGTGTGATCATTTGTACTTGTACCTTTACCGTTCATGTAAGTAAAGATAAGATAATGTTAACTGACAAAGAAACAATGTCAAATATAATTACTATTGAGTCGGTTTGTTATAACTCCATATAGAAATATATATATAACTATCAATTTTGTTGTTATTTTAAAAAGAAACTGTTGAATAATTTTAATAATCGATTCTTCTAAATCAAAATAAATATTTGTCGGCATTTACAGTCATATGTATATACTTATACATTAAGAAATCAAGAGTATTCGAATAGAAGTTGAAATGATGAAACTTATTTAAAGAGTATGAAAACCGTATAACAATAATTCGAAGTAAGCTTCGATACGCAGTTTAATAACAGATGGAATTAATTCTCACGTATACATGGATAGACTACTTAAAATATATATATCAATCAGGAAAGCATTTTTGATTTCGAATAGTTATATGCGAAAAATAATTCGCATCAACCAAGTGAGAAAAAACTTGAACACTAGTTGTTAACACAGGTACACAATCGTTTCTGATGGGAGTAGTTTCCTCTAAGAAAATTTTCTAACAGTAAACGATTCTTAAGAGAGAAATACTTTATTTTTAAGTAACATGGTCTATTTATTTCTATGTTTATAATGTCCTAGAATTAAAAGTATTGACATACCATTGTAGAATATCCGTTGTAGAGATGTTAACCGTATGGAATCATTATAAATAAAATGTCAGAAATTTTACTGTACAATATATATTTGCACATCGCTAGGTTTTGTTTTTATGAAGTACTATCGAAAAGTAAAGAAAACTACTGAAGAAATATCGAAGTTTATTGACTAATCAACAGCTTATAATCAAACACGCGTTGTATGTTTGATACGAGCAAAATTCAACATGTTTCTTTTAGTGCTACAATGATTTCTATCTTAAAGGGAGCAAGTTTTCTATCGAATAAATATTGAAAAGTTTTACTGTATTACACGAAACTAAAAAGACTATCAACAGAAAGAATCTGGATCAAAAGAAACTTTTATGTTTTTTGTCTAATGAAACTTCATCTAAATATAGATAGCTTGTATTTTGACAATCTTTTTTTTACCGGTTACCATTTAAACTAGAAAACTTCAATATTCGTTTTGAGTGAATTACTCGTTTCCTACCTGAATCACTTCAGCAATGGGGAAATTAGTTGCGCATTTTAATTTGAATGGTTTCATTTCACTCGCTGCATCTATTTTTTTTAGTGAAGAGCAGTTATATAATTATATGTTATAATTTATTTTATTTTATTTCATTTAAGAGCATCATCAATATAGATTCAACTAACTCACACTCAATTACCACAAATAACAAAACTCATGCTTGGCAGGCAGCTTTATTTCCCATCAGTTAGAAAAATTCTTCTTACCGAGATTCTACTATTGAGAATGAGAATTATACGTTTTTATTTACAATGATGAATTCTATCGCAATAAGAACAATTTAGCAGTACAGATCAAGAAATTTTCTTGGAATTACTGATGGTCATGGTGAGTTTGACAACAAAAACAGCAAATATGGGGGAAACTTTCGTTTGATAGAAGAGAAGAAACCCATTTAAAAAAATCAAAATACACGATAATATGACACATTGGCACACATTACATTAAATAATTCGAACCAAAGAATTCATTTTAATTATTTCCTAACATTTTTTTCGTGTATCTCAAGAATTGTCTTTCTGAGCTGATGAATTCTTAATTTATCGACTGCATAAAAAAGAAAATTTCTATAAGAAAATTCTATGTTTGTTGTTGTTGAATATGTTATCTCGAAACGAAGAAAATGGATTCTTATCGGCATAATCAATTTCATCGATGTTATTTTAAAAGTAAAACATACATAGTCTCGGTGTCGAATTCAAAACTTGAAAATGTTTGAGTCAACATAACTGAAAATCTGTTTTGTTAAGTTCCCGAAAGTGTAATTTCTGTTATAAGAACGTTTTCTATTCAATATGAAACTGATAATCCGTGTAGCATCCTAATAACAGCGTACACAAACATACATTGACTAATTTATCATTGAAAAGTAGAATAAGTAATGTTTTGTTGTAACTTTTAAATTGACCAAAGCCCAAATGTGCTTTCCAAGCGTGATAGAAATACATTTTCACATTTTTTTCCTTTTGAATATCTCGACATATTTTATAAATTAACCCTACGTTGACGTTGTGGGGTTCACGAGGACCCATCTGACAAATTTTCCACTGCTATTCCGTCATTCTTTGTTGTTTTGGGTCATTCCATTTCTCTAATCTCTAATCCTTATTTGACCTATAATATCCTCACTAGGTGTCAGAAGTAGCTCTACGGAGGGAGGAATACAGTGGTGGGTCCGCGCGGACCCGAGAACACCCATTGTGTTATAAGTATGATCTTTTGCCTTACTAAAGCTGCCATCTATTTTCTTTCGATTGTTTTCCAAACAGATGTGTTACAATTTGTTTCCACATTCATTTATAGTGCTAATGATTCATCCTTTCTTCGTATAAAGTGAAATTCGAACTCGTAACTATTTCCAAAACCAAAAATATATTTCTGTCTACTGCTACTTGTCCACTTATTGTGATTGCTTGAATCTGTTATTAACTCTTCTAAACATGTGAGAAAATTAAACTATATCATGCATTTTCACTTTTTCTGTTATTATATGAGACGTGGCCAAGTTCTCAGTAGTCGAGAACTCTTTGGAAATTGGGAACTCAAACATAAATAAGCGACAACCAGCGATGAGAAACCAAAACACGTGAAGCATCTCAGTGAATCCAAGGAACTCAGGGAACTCACGGACTCCAAGGAACTCAGAAGACAGTGCAAGTGTATATACGAAGGAAGGTAGTAGAAAACGCCTACACCCCATAACTAGGGGTGCATCAGCTCAAGCTCGAAAGTTCAGCTGAGCTGAGCGAAAAAGCTGTTCGATCAGATCAGCTCCTACCGAAATGAACTTTCGAACAGTTCCTTCGCTCAGAACTAGAGCTGAACTATTGCACCCCTACCCATAACCACAGCACACCCACACCCACACCGACACCATCCAAAATTGCGAAAGCCTAATAAGAAATCACCCGGACCTATCGGAATTCATTCTTAAGGCTGTGGGTGTGGAGTGTAGCTGTCTTCTACTACCTACCTGCGTACATACACTTACAGTGTATCGTGAGTTCCTTAGATTCCCTGACTTCCTTGGAATCCTTCATAACGTTGCTTTGCTTTGCTTTGCTTTATCATCACTTGTTGCAGTTCATTCATTTTTTAGTTCCCAATTCCCAATGAATTCCAGACTCCTGGGAACTTAGACAGTGCTGTATTATATAGCATGAGCGCAATACCTAAGCCAAATTTAAAACGAATTCGGGATATTCTATTAGCAGATGAAAATAGAATTAATAATGATGTTAATGATAATCAAGGTTCTGATTCAGATAGTGAATCTGATTTTCTTGCAACTGAATCAGATGATACATCTAATAGTGAACATATATCAAAAGAATCTGATTTATCAAATTCTGATTTTGAACATGGTGATATTGTTACAGTTAGTCAACCAGAAACATTAAAATAGAACGGTGTCATATGGTCCATGTATCCAAACTTTTCTTCGCGCCTCTATTCATTATGTATGTCTGTATACGAGCTTATTTCTACTATTCTATTGAAAAAGTGCATCAATTACTCTTTTTCGATATTGTACTCTTTTGGATATTCTTTATTGAACGTAACACACCTATTTGTGAGTGGCGTAATTAGAGGGTTATAGTACATAAATGACTAGATGATTCAAAACAAAAGTATCGATTTGCTACAATTTTTTATAGGTAGGTCCACTTGGACCCCACAACATTCATAAAGTTTCAAAATGATAACGTCTACGTAGGGTTAATGAAATATCTATTTTTTAAAATTTAAAATTTCGTTTTATTTTACACTCACGGATTCTTCGTTTATTTTATATCATAATAATGCACGTATTTTTTCTTTTAATAAATTCAACATAATGTATTAGTTCAACACCATTTAGTTGTCTTCTTTTATAAGTCAAATTTTTAATTAAATTTATATCAAATATTTTTATTTTCTCTGTAAGCAACAAAGTGAACATGGTGAATTAATTTAATACTCATGAATATTTTCTAGGAATATAATTAATAAATATTTCAATAATCGAAAGCTTCTCAAATGAATAATAATTCTCAAGATTAGACTACTATATTGGAATAAATTCATATAAAGCTTTATTCTGCTATAAAATTACAAAGTATTGCATATGTTTTATGAGAAAATAATTCTCCTTCCATACTCAGTTTATTCTTTTCCAAAATGGAACACACGACAACACAAGTAGAATAATAAACAAATGAAAAAATATAGATATATAGATATATCAGTGAGAGAGAGAGAGAGAGAGAGAGAGAGGATAACACCGACACACGTTTAACAACATCAAATGCAATCAATAATATCTGAATAAATGATGTATTTATTATATAGATATTTACATAGTTAACGAAGAGAAACAACGAAAGAACATCTTACTCTGAAGAATAGAAAACGAGAAGAAAACTATCAATTTAGCAGAATAAAGAACAACTGTTCAAAAAGTAACAGATCATTTTGTACAATTTTTAAACACGACAGAGAATGAAAATTTAGATCGAAACTTTATTGTAAAGTAATCACTGTCGATGGTGATGACGATGATGGAACCATTATTTCCTAAATAATATATATTCAATTCAACAGATAAATTGAAGTTTTCTTCTATTATTTAAAGATAATTAATGAATTAATATCTGAAGTTTTTTTTATTTTTTATTTAAATGAAGCATTCTTAAAAAAATTTAAAAACTTAGTTAGCCTTTAAAAAGTATGTTGAGACAAAATATTGTAGAATCTATCGAATTCTTTCTCCATCATCTGTTTTTCTACTAGATGAATTTCAAAAGTATGTTCAAATACTATTTATTGATGAACAAAAATTTCAATATTTCGATTAACTTACTTGAAGAAACGGTGATTGCATTGTTGCTTGTTGATAAGGATTATTCCACATCATTGTTGACAATGGAAATACAGCTGAAAGTTGAAAAACAATGTTTCGATAGCATTCAATTGTCTTAATTTATGATTTCAATTCAATCTACTAAAATATTGTTTTAGAAAGTTCCTTTTTGATCGATTAATAAAAAGAATATTCATCAATCAATCGATTGATAAATATGAAGATATCATTTTTTTATTATTACGTCTGTTTGAACGTAATATTTCAATATATTTGTACATATTTCTTTTAAAATTATTCAAAACTTTTGAGTTCTTTTTTTCAACTTTGTCTCGGTAGATAAAACTTCTCTAATAAAACTATTCTTACCATATTGCTGATGAGGATTAAACATAGGATGGAACATTTGTGGTATTGTCTGAATTGATGGATTAACAATCCAGCCACCAAGCGTATTGATTATTGCTGGTGGTAATTGACGATATTGTTCGTATGGTATTGGAATTGATGTTGAACATAATGGAACGTTTGCTGGCATAGAATTCGATTGTATTTGTACTGGTCCTGTTGTTGATGAAGACAAGCAATTATTATCTATTTATATGAGATTATTTTGATTATTCAAAATATTAACAATTCAAAAAGAAAAACAAACTTGGACGAAATGATTTGTAATCATTAGAATCATGTTCATTCTTTGCCAAAATTTCTTCACGTTTCAATGCTCTTTTACATTCAATCTATGTAGAAAATCAAAATTATTACGAAAAATTAAAAGTAATTGAATACAAACCTTTCGTCCATGGACATCAAAAACTCTTGTAGAACAAACAGCTTTCGTTGTTGCCATATCAACAAATGTTACAAAACCAAATCCTAAATCAATTAAAATAGAGCTTTATTGTTGATTTTCAGAGAAAACTTCTTTTTTTCTTACCTCTATGTCGACCACTATATCGATCATAGATAATAAAAGCTTCTTCAACCTAAATAGAATGATTTTGAAAAAATGAATTTGTTTAACGAACACTTTACTTGTCCATAAGACTGAAAAAAATGGGCTAATTCTTCTGGTCCAAGTGATGATGGAATGCCACCAACAAATATTTTTCGTTCCTGTCGATATGACTATGAATTAATCATACAATATTTTTTTTTAATCCAAATTAAAATTAAACCACATACTGAATCAACACCACTATCTCCTGAATCACTACTAGTACTGGTTATGCGTCGAAGAGCTGTTGATTCGGGAAGTAGAGATGATGGGATAAAGTGACCTAACATTAATGAGTTATTGCTCATGGTTGCTTTTCCTGAATATCACACTTTTCTTTTTAATGATTATTTTTAATTTGGTAACTGGCACAAGATTCTTCGAGGCAAAAAACGAAGTCTCTACTATGACTCATCGTTAGAACTTTTATTTATTAGAAAAAGAATTTAATACAATATTTGTGTTCTTTTTTCTAGGTTCATTTCAATTTTTTTTGAAGATTTACATCGATGAAAATAACAAGTGCATTAATGTGTTACGCAAGAGGTTAAATCCTCGGCTATGATTAGTTGTCGCAGAATTGACGAATAGAAGTTAGGTAAATAATCAAATACTCTGTCGATGTTTCTTTTGGTAAAAAGAACGATGCATTGTTTTCATTGTATTGAAAAAAAACTTAACATATAAAAATGAAATTTCGATTCTATAAAAAGATTCTTTCAGTTCTCTGATTATTCTTTAAAAATATTAATATTTTAGATCCTCATCAATCAAATCATTTCAGAGAAGAAAATTTGAACGAAAATTAATCAAAATGTCGTTCGTTGTCAAAGCCGTTGGAATTCTACAACAACCAGCAACTGGAGTTCTTCTCTGGTATTTTTTTTTCTCTTCAGTTTTTTTTTCTTAATTAACATTCATTGCGATTGATTTAGGAATAACACATCTGTTCGTAATATGGCGACCCTGAAAGATAGTAAGCTTGTTTTTGTGTTCAATGGAACATTGTTGTTGACTGTTTGTTTGGATTTTTAGTCAGTCGTCGTTTGAAATCGGTAAAAAGTATTCAAAAAATTACAAAATCAATGAAAATGGTTTCAGCAGCTAAATATGCCAAGGCTGAAAGAGAACTACGTGCTGCTCGTTCATATGGATTAAGTGCAAAAGGTAATAGGAAAAAGATTTTGAAAATAATGATTTTTCATTTTTGTTTTTACTTAAACAAAATCATATTGCAGCATTTTACGATAATTTGGAAGTAGAAAAAAGTGATACTCCTCAAAAACAGGTTCTTATCGCTGCAACATCCGATCGTGGTCTTTGTGGTGCAGCTAATTCATCAATCATTAAAAGTATTCGCACACAATTGAATGAAGAAAAACAAAATTTAGAAGGAACAAAAGTAGTTGCTATTGGAGATAAATCACGTGCTGGTCTTGCACGCACACATTCAGCAAATATACTTTTATCAGTCAATGAAGTTGGAAAACGATCAGTTGTGTTTTGCGATGCAGCTGCTATTGCGCAACAATTGATTAGTTCTGGTTTTGAATTTGATTCAGCTGAGATTGTTTATAATAAATTCAAGTAAGAAAATGTTTTTCAGAAGAAAGCCATCAAAATTTGAAAATCAATATTTAAATAGATCGGCCATTGCTTATACAACATCACGTCAAAAAGTCTTATCAAATGATACAATAGCTGCTTCAAAATCAATTCAAGTTTATGATTCAACTGATGCTGATGTTCTCCGTTCGTTTCAAGAATATAATTTAGCATCTGTTCTTTATTATACAATGAAAGAAAATGCAACATCAGAGCAATCATCACGTATGACAGCTATGGATAATGCAACTAAGAATGCTGGAGAATTAATTAACAAATTAACTACATATTATAACAGAACACGACAATCTGTCATTACAACTGAACTTATTGAAATTATTTCTGGTGCTGCTGCTTTAGAACAGAAACAATAAAAAAAAATTAAATCCAGAATTCATTATCAACCTATAATGAACTGAACTTCGTCTTCTTTTAGTAGTTGATTAACTTCATAAACATACTTATGTCCCCAGTTTTTTTCTCTTTGGTTTCACAGAATAAAATCGTCTAGGTATTTCATTCGATTTTGGTTTTCAGATGTCGAACGAAGAGAAACAACAAGTTGATGAAACATTTGTAACACCATGGAATTTAGCTATTTATTATCGACGAATTTTTCCATCGCATATATATTGTAAATGGCTTGCTTATGGAGAACGTGAGTCATATCATTTATTTCAAAATCAACGATATTTATTAACAAAGAAAACAATTCTGTCGTTCAATAATTGATTTTTTCATTTATCAGATAAATTTGCATAAATTTTAATTTTGCAAAAATGTTTCTCAACCGATACTCTTTTTCTTTTCATATCAATAATTGACAAATATAAGCTATTTCTCATGAAAATATTCATTTTTTTGTCATAGTAAATTGTTAAAATTTTGATATTAATTTCGTATTTATGATCTTTTATTGATTTTTCGAAAATCATTCAATACAAAAAGATAATCATGTATAATACCAAGTTTGTTAAAGTACATTTGGAGTTGGTTTTTATGGTTTCATCTAATTTAACTTTACGGCAGTCAGAATGAAACATTTTGTTGTCTTATATAAATGATGTTTAATATATATAGTATATACATATTAAACTTGGACAATTATTCAATATACGACATAGAAAATTGAGTATCAAAAAATCTTTTAGAAAATAAAATTTTATTGTACAGAGAAAAATAAAACTTTTTTAATGATTTTAGCTGCTACATGTTCACAATTCGCTCAACGTGAATTTAGTTTCACACTTGAAAATGATGTTTATCGTCGTTATCTATCATTTTCTAATCATATGGAATTTGAAAAAGAATTAATAAAATTATGTCCAGAAAAAATTGATATTGGTGCTGTTTATTCAGCTAAAGTAATTTTTTAATCAATTTAACAATAAACTATTATATTGATTTATAATAATTCAGCCAAAAGATCATAAAATGCTTTCTGTTGCACAATTCTATCCAATTGAACGTGAACTTGTGTTCGATATTGATATGACAGACTATGATGATGTTCGATTTTGCTGCCGGTAAATAATTACAGGTTATACTGTTAAATAAATATTAAAAAAAAACCTTTTTCTCAAGTGGGGCTGATATATGCTCAAAATGCTGGACATTAATGAGATTTGCTATGCAAATCATGGATCGAGTACTACATGGTTTGTTTTAGTTCATTGATTATGTTTTAAAAAAATATTATTTTCTTTTTAAAGAGGATTTCGGATTTGAACATCGTCTGTGGATTTATTCTGGTCGACGTGGTGTTCATTGCTGGGTTTGTGATCAAACAGCACGAGAATTACAATCAAGCATTCGACAAGCTATTGTTGAACATATAACTATTGTTACTGTAAGATTTATTTTAGTTTATTTTGTATCTTTTACTTATTTTCTATAATTTAGGGTGGAAAAGATTCATCAAAACGTGTAACACTTTATACTCCATTACATCCATCGCTTCAGTAAAATTCCAAAAATAAGTTTTCTTTTTATTTGAAAATCATGCTTGATTATAAATTTAGACGAGCTCGTGAAATAATTTTAACTGAATTTGATGGATACGCATGTTTAAAACAAGATTTCCTTGGAGATGATCAACGTATCGAACGATTTCTTCGACTTGTTCCTGATGATAATATCCTTTTTTCTTGATACTTGATAGAAACAAAAAAAGAAGAATCAATCAATAATGTCTTACAAATGAGAAGTCCTTGATTAAACTTCGACGAGTCTAAAGTTTGCCAGTCAAGATCAAGTTTCTTCAACATTTTCTGGACTAGAATTCAATCATGTCCATATTCAAACAATAGGTTCTAATCAGTTTTTCTATGAATTTCTAACCATGGTAATAAAAATCTAATCAATAGTTTTCGAATCAACAGAAATAAATGCAGAAAATGAGAAATTTTGATTTCGACTTGAATGCATCGAGAACATCTGATGCTCGACTTAGTTTTGAGTGAAAACTAAACATTTTCTTTTCATTGAATTCTAATTTAAGGTAATCATTATTTGATTGACTTTATTTTATTAGTTTTTTCTATAAAATAAATTTTTTCTTCTAGTTAAAACAATAGAAAAAAAGATAGTATATGTACTTGCTTATTATCGAATATATTACAGAAAAGTTATTGATAGATCTATACTCGATAAGCTCTATTGAAAATATAATATACGAGTAGCGTTGTAAAAAAAACTCGAACTAATCAGATCTTTATGCTGAAGTTTGTTTCATGATTCTTCTCTGATTATGATGATGATCTAATTTGACTAATGATACTAAATTATCATTTGCGAGATAAATTGAGATTGTTTTCTTCTTTTAAAATGTATTTCAAAAATTTAAAGTATGTTACAAGAAAAGAATGATTTCCTTAACTTAAAATTTTTACGTCGTCAAACATTACGAGAACTATTTTCTCAATTAACAACATCAGCAGAACGATGGGCTGCTTTTAAACAACATACCGATGCAATGATTAATTCGGTGACATCTTCTACTAAAGTATTTTATTTGTTGTTTGTCTTACGTTATAAATAAAAAAGTTCTTATTATTTAATAGTATCGTAAATCTACATATACAACATTAATTGACGAAATCATGTTTGAATATTGTTATCCACGTCTTGATGCAAATGTAACAAAAGGAATGAATCATTTATTGAAATCACCATTTAGTATTCATCCCAAAACTGGCCGTGTTTCAATACCAATTCATTTAGATTCATTGGGATATTTTGATCCGTGTAAAGAAGGTTCAGTTCCAAAATTAAACGAATTATGTCAACAAGTTGAACAATTACCAAAACAAAATCAACAAAGCGAAGATGGATCTAATGAGAAAACTGCGACGAAACAAAAAGGTTTTTATTTTACTTGTTTTACTTAAATTAATAATTTTCTTTATATTAGATTATAATCAAACATCTCTTAAACCATTTATTGATATATTTGCTCGTTTTGTGCAGCAATCACAAACGAGTAAACAAAATGAAACATTAGCTAAAAGTGGTTCGTTTCCTTTACTCAATATTTGTTTCTGTATTTTTATCAAATTTTTTTTAATTTTAGATCTTAATACAATGTTATCAGGAGAAATTTAATCAATTTATCAAAACATAGAATAGTTGTAGAATAGAATGATTCATTTATTGTCAGATATATATTTTCTTGTCGGCTGTTTATTTTGTACTTATCATCAGATATCGAAAAAAATAAAATAAAATGATTTACCTGATTGTACTTAGAAAAACACATTGAAACAATGCCAATTATTTCAAACAATATGTGAAGGATATCAAGGAAAACCATACTATTTGTCAAAGATCTCACTGTAAACTAGCAACCCATAAATTTGTCTTGCTTTTTGATAGAGATGATAGACAAGGACTTTTATCTGAGTAGAAGAAGATTTAATTGTTTTTTCTCACATCATATGATAGAATAGTAGAAGAAAATGTTATTTTTAGATCACATGCAACCGAATAATATTGTATTCGCTACCTCTTTAGTAAGCTCAGGGTTTGCAAAAATAAATGCATAAATAATTAGAATATGAAGTTTTAAAATAATCGTTAATCAGTTAACTTGCTAATTGATCTTAATCATTTATTATCGACTTCTAGAGATAGATGCATGCTGATGAAACCTTATGATTATTTTTGTTGATTTTTGACTGAAAGTTAAGCTTGAAAAAGTTAAAAAAAAAAGAAAATAAACGAATCTTTGTTCAAATATTTAATCTAAACAAGTAAACGAAAATTTTTGAATACGAGAAGAAGAACTTTCCAATGAACTCTATTGAGAAATAAATGATCTCGAAACAAATTTCGTTTATTTTAATTGTTTTCTTAAAAGTTTTGTTTAATGTAAAACGATCATAATTCTTTAAATGTAAATTATATGACCTCGGATCCTTTTTATGTATTTGTTACTCGGACGAATTTACTCATTACAATAATTACATGAAATTCAATAACATGAAAAAATGGAGAATATTTAATGGTTGAATTTCAAAATATTGTGAAATATTCGATTAGGTTCATCTTTTGTTTTTGTTGTACATGTCATATGAGAATTCAAATCATAATTTAACTTTGAAAATCTTTTTTTTATGAAATATAATTTTAAAGTTAAACAAAATACAAAACACAAAAAATCAACAATAATCTTTATCAAGACATAAAATAGCGATTGTTTTTTTCAACGATAGACGAAGATTTTTTCAATTCATTTTCTTTTTTTGTCATTAATTTCATCATATAATAATAGTTTCGTTGTAAATAAATATATTCATTAAACATAGTTTCACACTTTTGTTTGTCGAACGGCTCGTTTAGTTGAAATCTTTTTTCACATTCGTCTAAATCTTGTTGATATTTATCATAAGCAATTTCTTCTAGTTTATATTTCATTAATAATATTTCCCTTGAAGATGGATAATCACGATATTCAAATTTTATTTGGTATAATCGATGAATATAACGAAAATGAATACATTGACATTGTGCATCATATATTCGTTTTGGATGCTCGTCCGTGTTAGGCTACCGATGTAAAAAGAAAGCAAAGAATAATACACAAAAACAAATTAGAATCTTCTTTACTTGTTCTTTTTTATTACAACGAGAAATTTCAAATAAATTTTCCTTATTTGATTGTAACTTTTCTAAAATGGACAATACCAATGAAGGATTTTTCAAAAATATTTCGAGAAAAACAATTTTAAATTAATTCATATGGAAAAAATCAAACAAGATCATGTTTCCACAAAAGAGTTCCTCTATTTTTTTTTGTTTTTATCTTTATCTCCAATTCTTAATGAAATTATTTACTAAAACGAATTGATTAGAGAAATTTTCCAAAAAAGTTAATTTAGCGAGTTTTTAGAACAAAACAAATACAAAAAAATTCAATAAATAAAGTATCGTCATATATAAAAGATACTTTTTGATGAATATATTTCACATCAATATTCTATTTTAGAAATGTTTTTAATGATTGAACACGATTTGCTAACTGAATAGATCTATCTCTATCTCATTTTTGTAACTAATCTACATAAGGACTATAGAGTGCTGTTCACACAATATACTTACAAGTTTAGTATCTAAACAAACGAATCTTTCATTTTAAAACCTAGATTTCAAGTAGATCCAATATTTATAATTATCTTTCACTATTAATATTTTGTCATTAAAATTTTTTAGAATATACCTTCTTCTAGAATAGTTAAACGTGACTGGACAGGATGGATTGAGTTATTCGATCGATGTCCTGATGATGATATGAAAAGAAGAACAAATCCAAGCAACAACATATTACAAGAGCGTTTATTTACCATCCGTTATTGCCGATGAAATATTTTTATTACTGCAAACTTTTGCAGCTGAATTGGTTATTATTGACGTTGTCGATGGCATTACTAATATATAAAGGAAATATTCGTTTGCAAATCAAAATCTATTTATTTGTGTTACATGATTGATCTGTTGGTGATTTGACTGGATCGTTTAGAATCCTGTTGGGTGATGTTGTTAGAAATGGATCATCAGATAAATCTTTAAATGGAGGAATAAATTAATTTCAATAAAAAAAAAGAAAACACTGACTAATATTATGATGGATCGATGAATTATTGTTATTTACTTCTTTGATATCCTTCAAAATAGAGATTGTAGATATAATATAGAAAATGTGTTTTTTTTCATTTACTTTTTCACTCATTGTATTTAATTCATCTAGACAATAATCGTTAAGATCAAAATTCGGCGGTGTTTCTAGACAAGTAGATTCATGTGAACAATGTTCATGATTGTTAATTGATATTAAAGGTTCATGGGACAACATGTCCATGGTCTGAATGTTAATCATGCCATTTTGGTTTTTATAAATGGTTGATTTTGACGACGGAATAAGAAAAGAATTTTGTTTTCGTTGATCGTTTGATATAAATAATTTTTGTGGAACTAAGAAAAGAATCGAATAAAAATATATTTCATTCAAAGTAGAAAATATTTAACTCAATTTCCCAAAAAAGAGTTTATTACTACGATGAGATTGATTCTTAAATGAAAAAAAACCATTAAATCATTCAAATTTCAATTCAAATTCAAATTTACACACCGAAGAATTGAGTTGACTATTATTAAATGTAGCTTGAAAAAAAGACAATATTTTGCTCTAAGCATGTATGTATTGCACAAAAACTTACAACAAGATGAAGAATTATTGAAAAATGGTAATTGTGTATGATGATAAACTACAAAAGAAAACTGAAAATATTTCGAAAAAAAATCGAACAAAAATACAAGTAAATGCAGTAAATTTGTTCTGTTTCATATTTTTATTTGATTGCCAATTATGATTGTATGACTGAAAAAAAGATATTATAGTAATTAAAATCAATAGATATTTTTCTTCTTTATCTACTCGATTTTGTTGTTTATATTTGTCTCGTTGTTCAAATACCAGTTTTTGAATATGTGCTGTTGTTTCATCATACACTGGATGAACACGATATGATATACTATTTTCTTTACATTCGATTCGAACAACATCGGGCATTGAACGTAGTAAAGCCAAAAATGAATGATAACCAAGTTCAGCATCTACATGTACAATTATATTTTGGCAGATATGTCTGAACATTTCTCAATTTGATAAATTAATTAATTTTTCAATTGAATTCTTCAATCAATGAAATATGTAAAAGATTAAAATTTTTCCGAGAAAACTTCAGATTTTATCTCTTATAGAACACTCTAGTCTTCTACTTCAGAGATCCTCATCAACTGTATCAAACACAGTGTATAATCTACAGTTTTTCGAAAGTAAGTAAATAATCAGCTATGATGGTTTGATCCTGTTCTAACATTAAAATTCATGATCTAGGATTTTTTGTCTATTAGCTTATATGTTGATCAAAATACTAAAAATTTCATAGAATCATAACACTTTCGAGAATCATCATATAAAGTAGAAAGAGACATATGCCGATCTCGAAATGGGAAAAATGTTATTTGAACTGTTGCTGAAAAATTCCAAATAGAATTTTCTTTCTTTATTCATATCCATAAAAGTATATTTCATCTCGACTATATACATTGAAAAAACGACCATGTAACAGAGTTTTTCAAGACTTATTGTAAATAAAGCCAGTAAAAGTTTTCTCTTAGTCATGATTGATACTAGAAAAAAGTAAATCAATGAGCTAAAGTCACTGTAGAAAATTTCACTGGAGCTAGCTATGATTTATAATTTAGTAGCTTGGTTTAGCATACTTTTAATAGGAAACAACATTATTTACTAAGAAAATATCGAAGTCTAAACAAAAATCTTGCAAATCAGATCAGCTTGAACATGAGACTAGTATATGTCATTATAGAAGTTTTATGTGTCTTGAATTAGCATGTAAAAATGCTCTTTTCTTATACTTTTGATCCAAAGTGAATGGTGGATTAACCTTGAAAACTTTTCTTTTCGTTCAAAAATATGCCATTACCTTATTCTCATTTGCTATAATTGAATTTTGTTATAATTTATGAGATGGAATAAACTTGAATAAGAAAGAATAACCCTGATTAGTATGATAAACTATGCTGTCGATGGTCAAATGATAGAATAATATTCTTATTTTTAAATTTGGAATTGTGTTGGATCTATTGCAATTTTTAAAGACATCAATTAAATTCATAGTAAAAAATGTAGTTTTAGATTTAAAATGTTAACTAAACAGTGATGCTTGCCAAATATGCATGATAGTACGGTGAGTCATTTACTAGACGGTATGAGATTAGTGAGTACAAAATTCGTTTTAAACGAACTCATAACTAAGGTCGACAATTCGGGTACGTTTTTTGAAAAAAATTCAAGAATTTTTATACTAAATTCTAGATAGTTCTTTATCCATGCTCAATTTTGTTTTTCAAAACACATACTATTTATGCAGAACTAAAAAAGTTCAACATGACCTCTTCATTATCTGCACATGCTGAACAACTTATTCAGTCGGCACTTCTGAAGTAAGGAACTTTTTCAACAGGCGTTTCTTTTCAACCCATTTCCAACTTCAAAGCACTTTTCAGTTTTATAAAAAAAAGAACAAGAAATCAAAAGCACACTCATGGCGAATGAACTTTTTCTTGCATACATTAATTTCATAAATAAATGACTTACATGGTACTTCTTTACCACAATTTAATGTTTTATAATCCGAATATAATAATGAACCTGTTAATCCTCCATGCTTAGTTTTTGGTGAACTGATTAATAGTGAACGAATTTCTTGTTTAATATTTTCATGTAGTTTCGCTTTTTCATTATTACGCATCGTTTCTTTTTCTTTTGTCTCGGGAAACAAAGTAAATCAATATAAATTTTACATCTGTTAGGTAGTGGCGCTAACTGCGATCATTACCTCTCTTTTTGTTCTCATAACTATCTATTGGTCAAGAGGCCTAAGTGAAGTTTTATTGGAAAAGGAGAAGCTAAGGAGGAGGTTGAATAAAAGTAGAAAAATTAGCGTTACAGACTAGCAACATCTATTTAGATATTTTTTTCTTATCTTTCAGTACAATAAACCATCGGTAACTTTAAAAACATATCCATGTCAAATGGAAACTATGTCTTAATCAAGAATTTCATGTATAAAAAAAAAAGAATTAGGTGGAAAAGAACGAGTGCATTTTGACACAGTTAAAAAAAATGAACACCAAGAAAAATAAAAGAAATTCAATAGTGAAATGCAAAATATGAGAATCAAATAAATTCCAAGATTTTGATATTGATGATGACGTTGTTGATGCATTTATTGATCGGTTGGGGCAAGAACATAAAAATTTTACTAATACTAGTACAAGTACTGCGTTCAGGGGATCTGATTACTGGAGTAGTATCCAGCAGGGTACCCAAAAAGGTACCTCGCTACCGGCATGTTACAGGATCTTGATTGGACACCTCGCTGAAAAGCTGCTCAGTGGTTGCGTATTGGAATAGGTACTTGCTACAGTACTTATACAACTCTGCATGCACTGTATGAAAAAACTTTCAATAAAGTAGTCTAGTGAGCACCCAGAAATATATTGAAGAGATACGCCTCAAGCACTCAACAAGTACACGAAACAACTTGAAAGTAATCAAGTATTTAACAAGTACCTGTGGCATACAGGTATGAGGATATTCAATCTGACTAGCAGGATACCTTGAACTTAGGAATTGTAAATAGGAAATGCTTCATCCTAAAATAAACAAATCTAGTATCTTCATTTTTATAGAAATTAAATTCTCTATGGTATATCATTAATAAAAACAACATTTTTATTCTTAGATAAAGAATACCTGAGTCAGATAAGCAACATCATATGTAGTTCAGCAGCTATGTCAGAACTTTTTTCATAGGGATTTATTGTGACTTTTCAAAACGTCTCTAAGCATGTCTGGACAAATTCTATATAGCTCTTCAGTATTTTCAGGTTGTCTAGGTACATACGTATACGTGAATAGGTAGGGGTTGAACCAAGCGGCAATAAAGGTAATGGTGTGATGAAGTATTATCACAAATGGTAAATCCTAATAAGAAATAAATAAGAGCCAATAGTCTCTCGAATATTTTACTTTCTTTTTTATTGTAACACCATCTGGTTTGCATTGTTTTCTGTTTTTTCAAATAATATAGGTACCAAGGTCTATTACTAAAACGAATGATATTGCACCAATCTATAGAAGCAATCGGATGATAAAAACATTGATAGATGTCTATCAAGGATATTTGTCTACATAATTGTGTATGTATTTATGATTCATTTTCGTGGTTTTTCTTCCTAAAAATAGCAAAAATACTTCACTTGAGAAACCCATGCTTACTCTTTCACTTACTTCGTGTTTATCGGTTAGAGCTGCACGAATAGTGGCGTAACCACGAGGGGGGCTGGAGGGGGCTGAGCCCCCCTAGAAATATTTCTGTTTAGCTGTTATTTAATGTTATTCTAATTTTTCGAGCGGCTTTTGTGTTAGAGAACACAATCTAGATGTTATTCTTGATCAACAATAGTAAAGAAGAAAGAAAAAGAACAATTCTGTTCTGTTTATGTCGTCTTTGTACAATGTGAGTAATCGATCGTCATTTATTTGTTCAACAACGAAACTTTCGTCTTGATCAACAACAGTAAAGAGAAAAGAAAAAGAACAGTTCTGCTCTGCTGGTGTCGTCTATGTCAGAGTTGCAACCGGTAACGGTAAACGGCCGGTTCGGCTCGGTCTAGGATTCCTTACCGGCACCGCCAGATATACCGGCCGGTACAAGCGACTTTTTCAGACCGGCCCGGTCTAGATTTTTTTAAATTATTTTCGCTTTTTCCCTTATTTTTTGCAAAAATAGATGATAAAAGTGTTTATTTTTGCATATCAAGCTAGTTTTTATGACATTAATGACGATTTCTAAGAAAAATTATGAGATATATTGTTTATATTAAATCAGTATTTATCAAAAATATATTTCTTAGTGACGAAGGAGAAGTCTTAAATAATTGGAATTGTGATTCAGAGTAAGATATGACTGATATTAAATGAAAAAAGTCAATAGTGACTCATATACGATGAAAAAAAACAACTATGACTCATGCCGGTCCGTTCCGGTCTGATCGGCTTAGACCGGTACTGGTACCGGTCTCGAAAAAACCCTACCGGTTGCAACTCTGGTGTATATTGTTGTTTTGTGTATTGATGTAATGTATATTGTTGTTTTTCTTTAAAATGCTACTCTTAACATGAAAAATATGTTAGTGAACATCAAGCAAGTACAACATCTCCTAAAAAAGGTGGAAGAAATTCAGTTTTTAATTAGTTCTGAAGAGTCTTGGGGCCGAGTCCCCCCTAGCTTAAAATCTTGGTTGCGCCGCTATGCACGAAGTTCACGGATTTGTATTTCCAATATTGAAATTGTAGCATCATGAAAACTATCGTAAATGGCACGATTTATTAAATCACTATCCGGGTAATTTAATATAGTCACCAGATACAGCCGTGAACAAACCGTTTAGGACAGCATGCGTACCGTATTGCTCGACCTGGGCTGGGTATCATTGCTTGTATTCTAAACAAGTTTATTAGCAATTAGTAAATACACTTAGGCACATGTGCAAAATGAACACACTGTGACAATGAACAAAGGAATTAATTCTCTAGAAAGTACCACTACTAAAATATTCTAACAACGCTGTGCTTTTAAGCCAATTGATTCTTTTTATTGTGATAGTATTCGTGTTCTGTTGATGTACCTTTAGTCATGTGTATCCGAACAAGTTAAAGATTTTTTTAAATCATGCATAATATATTAGCCGTGCATAAAATTTATCGAAAAGGCTACCAGTAACGATGTAGAATTGCCGGTACTCATAATAAGTTTGAAAAACCAAAACCAAATGGAAACTAATCTGAAATGGTCTTATCAAATGGCTCACCGCAATCATTCCAACCATCTGAATCAGTCTTTTAAAAGACCTGAAACGGCTATAAAACGGTACAATATAAGGCATTCACTTTCACCTTATTTCGCTGTAAGCCCGTTTTACGGGCCATTTTTCTGCTAAAAAACGACTATCACATTTATGCTGCTGAAAACCGTGTACGAGCCGTTTCTTGAACCTGGGAAATGAGTAAAATTTATCTCCAGAAAATACAAATAACATAAGAATACAGAAAGATTTTACTGTGCTAGGTATATCATTAAAAGTTCAGAATACAAACAATATCTCAATAAAAAGAATCTTAAACTTTCGTAGCGCGGCACATGATCAACAGTTTTGAAAATGATAGTTAAGTTAAATAATAATATAGTCAATTGATAATAAAAGAATGAACACACTTTTAAACAGCTACGCTCCTTGTATGAAAATTGTTCGTGTCTATTGTATTGAAGAGCTTGCAAGTAACAACAGAAGAGGGCGGTAATTTCGATATTTGATATTATATTATAAAAACAACAATATTATCATAACATATTCAACAATGGTTTAAAAAAGTAAAGATGATCACCAAAGTATGGCACTTAAAGAATATCTTGAGAAGCTGATAGAAATAATTTAGCATTCCCAGGTCAATGATTCCGGAGGACGGATACCTCAAGAATCGGTCGGAAAGATGCCCAGCTCAAAAACATCAGACACAGATCTTGTAAGATCAGATGAAATCATACGAAAAATCATAAAGTCAGACCATCGTATCAATTCGTACTGTAAAATTTCTGTAAGATCTTACAGAAATCTTATGATTTTATGCATATAATTGAGTGAAAAGGAAACAGATGTTGTTGATGGTCGAGCTGTCTAACAAAACAAACAATATAAATACTTTAATGCATTCATTCCTTATTCCATCCGAAGCTGCGCACTTCTAGCGAGTCCCTACGGGTCAGAGCTCATTATAAATTAATTGTTAAAAAATCGTTATCGAACAGTTGAAAGAACATGTGAGATGTACTACTTGCCTAGCACAAAAGAAAAGAAGTAAACCGTATCTTCGAACTGACTACCAGATTTGATTAGAAAATTTGATTACAAGTGTAAGAGTATCTTTTTTGTTCTAGATTTATTTTATTGACTATAATAAACCAAATTTTTGTTAAGAATCCCAGCCTAGTTTTACTTTCAAGTTAAAATAAGCATGATCAAAATTTACAGCCCAAAGAGTTAAACTTCAAATAGATTTTTTCATCAAAATGTGTTTTTTTGTTTAAAACATTTTTTTTCATTAAAAACAAATTTTAACAAAAGAAACGATTTTCTGCAATATTTTTTTTCTGAAAAATATACTTTAAATTTTGGCTTTTCAGAAGGTTAAAGTTGAAGGTATGCTTGTTTTAGCTTTAAATTTAAAGATCAAAGCTGAGGTAATCTACTTCAAATTGGATAATTTTATCAGACTACTGTCGGTGCCAGAAGTCAAGGCAGGTGGATGCTTTTCGCATAACTCTTGATAGGAACAAGATAGAGACTTGCGGTTTTCAGCGTTTGATAGTCAGGACACAGGAGCATATTTTCACAAGCAAAAAGTTTTCTAAGGAAAAATTGGAAGACCGGTTTTTCAGAGGATCACTGGAAAACCACGTTGGATTTCTGAAAACTGTTATAGAAGTCTATTGGTTTTCTTACATATTCGGAATCAGCATCCAAAACTGAGCCGACTCGTATATGTTTCGAATCTTTCTATGAACTTTGTTTTCGTCGAGAAATTCACTCCTGGTGTCTCTCTCAGGGTCGGTCAAAAAGTGAAATTCCATCAAAACGCTGTTTTTGTTGATTATTCATTTACCATTTTGGCTTCTAACAGGATTCTACAAACTTGGAACCTACTTTTTACTGTCTAAAGGGCATTTTGATGGAATTCACTTTTCGACGGACCCCTGAGCGAGACACCAGAAGCGAAATTCTCGACGAAAACAAAGTTCGTAGAAAGATTCGAAACATATACGAGTCGGCTCAGTTTTGGATGCTGATTCCGAATATGTAAGAAAATCAAGCGACTTCTATAACATTTTTCAGAAATCCAATGTGGTTTTCCAGCGATCCTCTGAAAAACCGGTCTTTGAACTTTTCCTTAGAAAACATTTTGCTTACAAAAATATGCTGCTGGGTCCTGGCTATCAAACGCTGAAAACCGCAAGTCTCTATCTTGTTCCTATCAAGAGTTATTTAAAACACATCCACCTGCCTTGACTTCTGGCGCTGACAGTAGTTAGGATAAAATTCTATATCTAGAATGGATCAAATTTGATTCGATATTTTTCGGTCAAGGTTTTTATTCGGCGAAGTTGGAGTCGGCGAAAATAAAATTCGGCGAAGCTGTACTAATTCGTATGTATAGAATCATAAAATGAGTAATAGGAACGCAGAATATTTAGATGGTAGATAATGACCGAAAAGATCAACATTTTTACCAAGACAAAGTAAATTCTGTTTTTACATTTTCAAAAGAACATACTGCGCGACAAAAAATAAATTTTGGCATCATGTCTTCCACCGATTTGATTTTTTCCCACTAAATAAAATGACTCATATTGGATTTTTAAATATAAAAGCATTGAAGCTTTCATCACTGGTGTCACAGTGTGGCACAGTTTTATTCCAGTGTTGTGAAATAAAAACATTATCTTTGAAATAGTAGATTATATATTTCTACTAAGTTTATTATACTGAATATTTAGAACTTTAATATGAATTAGTACAGCTTCGCCGAATTTTATTTTCGCCGACTCCAACTTCGCCGAATAAAAATCTTGACCGAAAAATATCGAATCAAATTTGATCCATTCTAGATATAGAATTTTATCCTAACTACTGTCAGCGCCAGAAGTCAAGGCAGGTGGATGTGTTTTAAATAANGTCATTTGTTCCATCGAAATGGTCAATTGTGCCATGCAAATGGTCGATTTTACCACAGGAATGGTCAATCGTGCCACAGGAATGGTCAATTGTACCATAAGAATTGGCCATTTGTGCCATAAGATTGGTCATTTGTGCCATGAAAATGGTCATTTGTACCACAGAAATAGTCAATTGTGCCATAGAAATGGTCATTTGTGCCACAGAAATGGTCAATTGTGCCATAGAAATGGTCATTTGTGCCATTGTTACAGACAGACAGACAGACACAGGTGAATTACGGTTTCTAGACTCTATCCTTTCAGTCTAGGGAATATCTATTTTAATCTTTCGTAATTTTAAAAATACAAAAGTGTAACGCTCACAGTTAAGCGTGACTGTTATTTTGTTCTTACCATGTAATTTGCCTTTTCTCTGTTTTGTATTTGTTTTGATGTCCTTAGCGTTTGTCCTTAACTGTCATCAGCCTTCGTTCTCTTGGTTGGTTGAGTATTTAAGTGTGTGCTTTTTGTGTAGTCGGTACGATTCATGATATGAAGAAATGAAATAAAGCAAAGTTCCATCGATGCCAGCACTTCTTCTATCAGAAATCGTCACAAAAGGGCATGGATTTGAGTGGGAGTGTTAGGACATAGCAAGTAACATTTACACTAAAGATTTACTTGTATTTCAATTTTAGAATTAATCATGGCAGAACAAAACAAGACCGTTGCAAAATATCTCTCATTATCACAAGATGCAAGTTCCATCAACATGGATAATCTAAGAAACATTCAGAGTATTTATAAGAATTTGACAAAAGTCGATGATTTGGACGATCATGAAATTAACGAGAAAGCTTTAGATGATGTTTGTCAACAATCGAATCTGATACAAGAAGGAAGCGATAGAGAATATCTAAGATTGTGTGTCAGATACGACGATATTCATAGATCGAAAATGCAATTGAAAGCTCTATATCAAGCAAACTCGATTTTGGTAAATAACAAAATGAATACAATACCAGCAACAAGTAAACAACAAACGTCACCAGTAGTCTTAGACGAATGCCTATGCGTACTAAGTATGAAGATGAATACAAAAGAAATTCAAGACTTCATCAGCAAATTCTTACTACAACAAATTCAAAAACAGCCATCAATAACTAAGAATCGCTCAGTGTAAGTATAATCGAAGAGAGTAGAGTGAAGGGTGTGGGCATGATTGTTCATGATGAGAACACCCAGACACGCAGGTATTATACATTTTTCTCTTTCCTTGACATAAAATAGAACAGATCATTGTCGGCAATCACCACAAAACTCAGCTTCTACGACGACTGTAACGCAAGATCGAACAAAATTACCATTTGGATGTGTACTCGATTCATTTATTCGTCATCAGTTAGAAAATCGAGGCATCATTTCATTTGCTCATCCACAAACACGATTTCGTCTTGTCGAACCAATCAGTCTTACAGATGATTTTAGTACGTGGCATTTTGATCATTTTCATGATCTATTTGATATTTGGTTAAAACCATGTTCTGATCAAGTTTTCCCAAAGCAATGGCGTTTTGCTACCAATGGTCAGATCTACTGGCAAGTAAATGATGCGTATAATAAAATCAATGACAGTGGAGAAGCAATGACAATTGAACGACCAAATACCAATTCGTTGGAAAGTTTTATAGGTGATATATGTTTGAAAGAAAATAATGGCATGAATGATATATGGTTGAAACAACTGCGAGAACTCGAAGATATTACAACATATTCCCATTTAGCTAATTTAAAGGAGACCGATTGGGATAGAATAGTTAAATTGTCCATGAATGCCAAGAAAACAATTAAAACATATGTTGATCGAGAAAAGCAAACAGCTGTTGATGAAAAGCGAAAAAAAATTGCAACAAAATTCGAAGATGAAAATGAAAAACAAGGTACACACCTGCTTTTTTTAAAGTACGCTGAGTTATTCCCACTCAACAGGATAGTGCTGCTCTCTATTTACGAGTCACTTGGCACATACACTTTTCTCAACAATGAAATTTATGCCATCAAAATAATGCATTATTTCTAAGCAATATGAAAATAAATATCGAGCTCTTAGATTTATTTTTTTTTTCGTTTTCTGTTCTTAGAATCTGTAGCATCATATTCAACATCGGAATTATTAGCGAATTTACATATGATCAAACTGTTCTTCTACCATTCATTAAGAGATACTGTCGATTTGAAACCAAGTACAACAATAGCAAAATTGGATCCGCAATGTGTCGAGTTATCATTTCAAGAAATACGTGAAGAAGGATTTTCAGATGATGGTCTATTCGATAATATGAAAGAATTTTTTCTTCCATTAACAATAACTGAGCATGAATTGAAGATGGAGCGACATAACCATCAAGTTCTTCGTGAACAACGAGAAAACGAAGAAAAGAAATTGACCGATGAGATAAAATCACTTAAATATCTATATGATGAGCAGGTTGGCATCTATTGGACCTACGATGAGTTGATAACAAGGGCAGAAAAAGAATTGCAGGATAAATGTCTTGCTTATTTAAGAAAGAAGTCGGAACAAATGAAAAATATCAACCGCCGTAATGAGCATGAACAAGCTGCATTTGTTCAACTGTCAGATCAAGAATGGAAGAAAAAAGAGCAAAACTTGGAACAAAATATTAATGAATATCAGCAATTAAAAGATGATGTCAATAAAGTTGTTAAAGGTTATGAAAAAGAATTAGATGAAAAACGAAATCAATTGAAAAATGTTCAATTCGAGCTGAATAAAAAACAAAAAGCTGTTCATAAAAAATTGGTTAAACCACATCGTGGCTTTATCATGTTTGGTCCACCAGGTAAAATTATAAGTATCTGAACGCGCAGAACACTGTATCATGTCGGGTTTTTTTTAAATCGTTGGTAGGTACGGGTAAATCAGAAATAATGAGTAAATTAGCAACTAAAATCGGTATACAAATGGTAGGCCCACCACTAGCCGCTGGTGAATTGAATCGTCCACTTGTTGGCGAATCTGAACGCATCATTATTGCTTTATGTACACGTTGCAATCGTATACCATATACACAATGTTGTGTCTCAATCGATGAAATCGATTCTCTAGCACCGAAACGTGATGAAGATTCATCTGAAGGCAAAGTTGATAAGATTAGTGTTCTACTTAGTCTTATCGAGGGTATTAAAGATATTCCGAATCTAATGATATTCTGTGCGACGAATCGTTTACATATGATGGATGAAGCTTTTCTACGACGTATGTCTGGGAAATTTTTTGTCGGTCGACCATCATCAGAAGCACGACAAAATATTCTTTCACAAATACCAGATTGGGTTTTGGAAACAGACATGTTGGAACGATTAACTATTGCTACGACAAATTTCAGTGGAGCAGCGGTTGGGTATGTTTATCATTTAAAAGATACACGAGAAGCTATGGCTTAGAAAAACATAGAGTGAAGATGTAAATCTTGTATTCGTTTACATTTACACTTCGAATAGCGGAATATGATAGGCATAGAGTATGCAGCGGAATAGCCACAAGGCAAAGACAATCGAATGATGTTACAGACATAGAAGAAGCAGAAGGAGAAATCCCCCCTTTCGTATTTGATTTGATGTATTTCCAGAATTTCTGGAAACCCAAAAAAGCGAACAGTACAGACGCTGAAAGTTATTTATCTTAATTCTATTGTGTGTTGTATTCTACTGCAAATTAAAACACATCTACGAAGTTAGCTTTTCAGAATCAATGTATCTCATTAAAACAACTTCTCATGATTTTCAAAAGTATCATATTGACTTCATGCATCAAATACATGTAAAAAAAATACTCTAAGCCTTTTCAAAATGAATCAAACTCAACATATTCCAAATGATTAGTTTTGGTGAAATCAATTTTTGTTCTAGTGCACTTAGTCGAACGATTACCGTCTATTCAATGGTCCAACTACGCAAGGATTCAACATATAAAATGAGTTATGTTGATGCTCTACAATTAGCTGATAAAACAGCAAAACAATATCAAATTTCGCTTGGTAGTGATACATTGCCACGTTTACTTTTGCGTAATTTAGCTGTACCAAATCAAAATCCAGCGAATAATCTACAACAAATATCCCATTTAATAGACGATCAACGAAGTCTAGCTATTACTTATACAGGTCGAATCATTATCAGTTTATGTGATCAATGTGTTCGAATTGAAGCACGTAATCTTACATTGCGAGCACCAAAAAATATTATTATTGAACATAATCTGAACGAAAATGAAACAAATCTACAACAACTTCTTGAACGCATAACACGTTATGGCAAAGATCGAAATGTACAATTGTTACAATTGATTGATCTAAATTTATTATCATCTCAAAGTGCCTACGATGAAAAGAAAATATTTGAAACATTGAAAGAACGTTATGATGAATACGCTGCATACCATCGTTCCTTGATTGTCTACGATTTAGATTCATTAATTGGTGTTAATAAAAGTGAATCGGAAAGTTCAATGGGTCGATCTTCAAATAGTTCGGTTGTCAATCAAAATATTTATACATATGTTCGAGCAAGATTTCGCGAAGCTGTCATTGAAGCAACAGTGTCGCCTAATGATGCTCAACGGGTTGAAAAATGGACTATTGCAGTTACACGTGAACCATTTTTACTACGCCAATTTTGTGTTGATGTAGGTTTTACTCAAACGAAACACGAAGAAGATGAAATGGAAGATGAAAGACGAAAAAGTGAAGATTTGATTCAATGTGTCAAATGTCGAGATTTTTATATAGAAAATGAAAATAAAATGGGTAAGTTATGCATGTTTCGGTATTTTAATTGAGTTAATCAAACGTTTTTACCGAGTATTTATCAATAGCCATTACTGTACTGCCGCAAATTTTCTTGAAATTTTACTTACTTTTCACTTTTGGCTGTTATATGAACAGTAAACGTGACTATTTATACATTTTTTTCAAGGGTCTTGTACGCATCATGATGGTTTCATTTATGATAATGCATCTGCTGATTTGGCCTATTACAGTCTAAACGAAGCAACGCTGTATTTATGTAAAATTGAGTCAGAAGCTATGAGTAATTCCGATCGACGGGACGCAGTAGAACGAGAAAAAAATAAATTTAAATGGATATGTTGTGGCGCTACTCTGCAATCTGGCGCTGGATCGACCGGTGGGTGTAAAAAGGGGAAACATGGTTTCACCGATGAATGTCGACGATCACAACAACGACGAAATCAAAGACAGCCGATGCAACGGCTAGACCAAGATATGATCATGGAATGGGAAACGGCTTGTCGACAAGTATACAATGACCAATGGATTGAACTAATGAGATACCGAAATTAAATATTGAACACTCGCATTTTTCAATAGTTAAGAATAAAAAAATTAGAGAAATGTATTCGATTTTTTGAATATTAAGTATTGCATTGAACATTACACAATTACAATTTTTATCTGACAATTATATTTCAACTGTTGCCAGTGTCTCAATAAGAGAATGCAACGAACAAAACTGACTATGAAAAAGAATAAAACAGTTCATTTTCTTATGATTCACAAGAACGAACCCAAATTTACCTCTTTTTCTAAGTTAATATTCACCAATCAAAGCTATCTATGAAGATTTTAAACGTTTCCCGAGATTGTTTGCAAGTTCTGTTTTGGGTGTGGGCGTGCGTCAAGCGTCTGTGTACACCCACACCCGCATCATTTTCTATAGCTAAATTTGTAAAAAAAATCGCAGTTGAATAACTATCGATCTAACCAGGTTGTGTTTTACGGAAATTTCTTGAAAGTTTCAAACAATATTCCTTGAGAAAATGATGAAGAAATTATCATAAATCAAGAGTATGCGCCTCATTGCCTCTATTAGCCATGGTAAAAGCATATTGAATTTTTCGTTTTTGAATGATTTCAAATGGATCTTCAATCAGCTGTCCTCCAAACGTATAAGAATGTGTATCAAGTCGCCAATAGTATGAAAATAATTTTGATAAAGGATAATCTGGAAGCACCAGAGTAAAAACCCGACACATGAAAATACTTGGGGGCCCATCGACGATGAAGGCGTCCAGGTTGAATTGAAATGTTAGAAAATTTGACATGTTCAAAAGTTAATGGAGTAGAATTACCTAATATTTGCGCTGAAGATTGCTGAATGTCATTATTAATTCGATCGTCTTCATGAACTTTTGTATACTGTTCTCCAATGATACCATTGACCAGTGATGCCATTTTGATATTGCCATTCATCTTGACGATCGATTATTTCATCATCAGGATTTTTAGGTAAACATATCGATCGTTGAGCATCGTACCAGCTAAATTTAATAATAAGAATACTACACCCAATGATAAAACATAAAATGCTATACAAACAGCGACAACGATTGTTATATTTGTATCGTACACGTTTCATTATTTATCGAATCGTAAAATGAGCCGGAAAACGGCTCACGTATCTACACGCTGTTTTTTTTAACACTTTTCTACAATCGTAAAACAAAGCAAACACCACATCTTGACAGAATTCATTTCATACGAATATGAACTAATTTACATGCAGGAACGTTGGCTCTTGCTTTACTATGCTATTTTTTGTTTTAATGATATGAGGAAATAGATTGAACGAATCATTTTTTTTTCGACTCATTGTATCAATATACAAAATCAAATGTAACCATTCATCCATGAAATACATTCTTCATTTTGACGAAGAGAATAATTGAACACTCATCAAAGTAGCGTTAACTTCATGTTGTAAGAATCTCCATGAAAAACTCTCAGTTTTAGCTGAAACTCGATCTATTTCAATATTTTTTCGCAAAATTTGAAAACAACATCTGGAATGACCAAATTTTCATTCGCTTGCGTGTTCGCTTCATAGAGCAAAGGAAAAAATATATATGAGCATATTATTTGCTTGTATGATGTGTACGTAATGCGTATCAATGATGAGTACAGAATCATCCTGTCCAGCAGGACAAGGCAAAATTTTGAATCACGTCCTTTCTTCCCTCTAACCGGCTGTCGTATGATCATCTCTGGTTTCTGTATTTTACCCTAATCAAACTTCTTGTCTGATGTCCAGAAACTCTTTGAGCAAGTTAAGTTGTTGCATTTGATCGAGAATAAAATCGAAAACTTTTTTTAGATTTTTGTCAAAGCAATTTTTTTTTGAGTAGCAGCAGACAGATATTATTTATGTTTTTACGAAAACGATATACTGCATAAGAAGCTCCATGATTTCTGAAAGATCAGACTTCAGACTATCTCCGTAGTCTTCTCTGAGATTTTAGATTTTTGTCGAAAGCTGACTTTTTTTAGAAGAGGAGAGCCTCAACAGGAAGGCAATCAATTTGTCAGACGGAAGCGCAGATTCATATAAGATCAAGACAAGAGAAAACCCACAACATAAAAGAGAACGCGCAGAAAGCAAAGGATAGCAACATCTGAATAGGTTTTTTATTTCTTAACAAAACGGTCGATGATTCGTATCTTACTTCACTTTTCTCCATTATCCACTGATTTTCTAAATTTATCTTTTCGAATGTTTTTTCTTGCTTTTTCCATGTTATTCTTGTACAGTACAACACTTGGATGGTGTCGTGACAAGACAGTGAGTGCCTTTGTAGCAGCTTTCTTATAGAAATATTTTGCCTTGATAAAATTGTTTTTCTCGTGATAAACTCCACCTATATTGTTGTATGTTACAGCAATATCTGCCATATTACCAATTGGAAGCTCAATTTGTAATGTTCGTTCAAAATTAGCTAATGCTTCCTCAAAACGACCTTGTTTAAGTTGAATCATTGCAAGATTATTGTAACCGTTTGCCAATGATAAATGTGAGCTTGAATCAAGCCCTTCAATTGCTAATTTGATGTCCAATGCGCGCTGAAATGAACTTTCAGCAGCTGAAAAGTCATCTTTTTCGAATTGCAACGTACCAAGATTGTTCAGCGACTGAGCGACCAATAAATGCTGGTCTTGTGTTCGTTCAAAGGATGATAATTGAATTTTCAATGCTTGCTCATAATATTCACGAGCTCGATCAAAATCTCCCATATGAGTATGTAGTACACCCAAATTATTAAGGGCATGTGCCATAAGATGATGATTAGATGGTAAACTTTGCTGGTAAATACTCAAAGATTTTTCAAGCAAACTTAAACTTTTTACATAATTTCCAATGTTCATTTCAACTACTCCTAAATTCTCATAAGAACTGGCAAAATCGAAATGCAAAGGTGGCAAATATTTTTCCTCGGCGGTCATTGCCCGTCGTAGATAACTTCTTGCCTTTTTAAATTGACCTCGATTGATAAAAATTGAAGCAATATTTGATAATATGTTCGCTAATCTCTTTGCCGGTGGCCTACATCGTTTAGCGCGCTGAAAATGTTCCAATGCTCGCTTGTACCGACCTTGATTTAGATCGACTAATCCGAGATTATTCAAAGTACTAGACAATAATGAATGATCATTTTTTGCAATAGTATGCGCTTGTTTAAAAAGTTTTCGTGCAGCACAATAATCACCGCGATCAATGTGCAACATGCCAATACTATTATAAAGTAAGGCCTTTTCACCATCGCTACTATCGCTGAGCACTTGCTGTTGAAGCATGATTGCATAGAACTGCTGAGCCTGATGCAATTCACCCATATTGAGTAAAAAATCACCGAGTGTAAGTTCACTTGCAATTGGATGCATATTTTCAGTACGTAAATAAGCAGTTAACTTTGAGAGACATTCTTTTACTTGAGTTTCAATCTCTAATCCTATCAGCCATGTCGAATCGTACTCTTTAACCGAAATGACACGAAATATTGTGCCCATTGAGAATAAAATCTCTTTCTCGCCATGTTTACTACTGTGATCAGCTATGCAAGCAAATGGTCGCTCAAATGATTGATTCTTATTATCGATCTTTAAGTCAATTTCGAAGACGACCGAGACATAGGATGGCAAACGTGATCCATCACCAGCATAAATGAAAGCTACATGTGAATCAGTCGTTGTCGATGTAAATGTATTCATTGATATCAAACCACCAGCATTCTTTTTTATTGTTTCGAATTCCTCGATAGGCAAAAATTGGCCACGAAATGTTTTTTTTGGTAGTGAAGACATAACTTTTCTTTCTTCTTTTGCCAGTTGTGTAAAGAGATCGAGTATAAAAAAGCGAAAAGTGAAAATGACTCGAAAGTCTTGGGTACGAAAAGCTCGATTGAGTAAACGATACGCAAATGAATCATTGGTGTACCACCAAATGGCTTTCGTTGCTTGATAATCACTAGTAAATTCATCAATTTTTTTCAGTTCAACCAGATCCGAACTGTAATGAGCACGTGCTACTTGCAACATATCATTCATATTTATTTGTTTACGTGGTAATCGTAGTAAGACATCAAGCAGCAATTGAAACCACATGAAACGAGCCTGATCCTTTGTCAAATCTCTAACAGAAATTTCTTGTCCATGTGCAACATCATAAACTGCCATCGATACGAACATTTGATTGCTATTGTTTTGTATCTCAGGATTATTTTCATCATCGTCATTATCACATGTACCATCTATTATGATTTCTTCGTCGCCTAAATTTGCTTGTTGACCGTTCAAAATATAAAAATGTGTTAACTGGCTTGAAGAACATGCATCTATAATAGATTTTTGTATATGCCTTATACCCATTTTATTGCTTTTTAACACCAATAAATAGAGCTTTTCGACATAATCTTGTTTTATATATTTAATACAATTTTCTAGGCTATCAAATATTTGCATGTCAGAATCGAGTTCATTGAGTTGTCGACGGACTTTATACCATTCATTATCTAAAGTTTGATCACCGGCATACAATAGGATACGTGTAAACGTATTTAAATCAACGGAAGCCCCGAATGGTAGCGGTAGATGAGCCAGACGTAAGCCACATCTGGTTTGTTTTTTGTTGCCAATGCGCTTTCGACGAACCTTTTTTTGTTGACGACCCATATGAATCGTTTTTGCGTCACACGACAGAAATCAACAAGCAATGTGAATAAAATCGTGGCACGTGGAAGTGGATGAAACTATGAAGTGAGTTACTTTTTTTCCAGTAAGTGCTTACTGGCTGTCATGTCGCCGCACAGAATACAGAAGGAAGGAAAAATTTAAAAAGAAACATTACTTGCGTTCAATTTGCCTACCTTCTTTCATACTCTCCGCCAAAAAGCATTAGAAAAGTCTATCCAATACTGAAGCAGACGATTAAAAAAATATACGATGGGTGTGACAATCGCTCGAAAATATAAAATATATGGTTTATTGTTCGTTCTGTTTTGATTTCGAGCGCTCAAATGTTGTCCTGTTGGAGATCCATGCTCGATTTCTAGAGGAGCTTTCGAGTACTCGAGAAAAAGAAAGACACTGAAGAAACGTTATTGCGGTAGTGTCAAACTTGAAACTTGAATTCAGTTGAAAATAGAAAATTTCAACTTTCAACTTTCAAATCATAGCGATATATGTATGAGTCACGATTATTCGGAATGCTATTGGTTTAAAAGTTGAAAGTTGAAATTTTCAATTTTCAATTGAATTCAAGTTTCAAGTTTGACATATATGCCCTCGAGGTACAATCATTACTACAAAGACGTGATTCTCTTATATGACCCTTAAAAATCAACTATCAACTGGAAGTAGTATCAGAAAGTCAATTCAGGCATAGTATTTATAAGCACAAACACTTACACAGGAAGAAACATATGATTAATGAGCCCAACTGTACGTTGATTATGTTAAAAATAATTATGACTAAAAGTTTTATTTTTCTAGTATCCATACCCAACACTGAGTCGTCCGTTTATGTTATTCTAATTTTTAGACTATTTTCTAGAAAATAATGTTCTTTGACGACTTTGAAACAAATCTATCACAACAAATGATTTTCTGGTCCATAGAATGGAGTAAACACATGCACTCTTCGCATTCATGCTACAGACTAAACAAGGCGTTCATTCCAACAGAAACAAATTGTTTTTATAGAATACATTTGTTTTCCTATGCCACACACTGACAGTACGTGGTGTCTTTCCTCAGTATATAAGCTGTAGTAGAAAAAGAAACAAAAAATGAATTTCAGTCGTATATGTGAGTAAAGATAGAAAAGGAATACAAGACGATTCTGGTAACCAGAACGTACTTCTCTATACATATGGTTAGCGCCAAAGTATTTAGTTTCAATGGTAAAAGATTTTCGGTAGAAGGTGATGTTGAATTATGATCTATAAGCCATGTCATATATGGAAAAAAAATCCCTAAATCAAAATCCCTATTTGGCCACCAGAATTGGTCATATTTATTTTATTCTCCACAAGTGTGGATATGATGTAGAGATGTATCTGGGGATTTAAATTTGCGTGAAATCATAGTCATTCTGTCCACAAATTAATTATTAGAAGTATTACATATATGTCAGACCAAGCTGCAATGCTTCTTCACAAGCTTGGATGCTGTGTGTGAGTTTCTTTCGAAGATAGGTTTGTTTTTGTGGTTCGCGCATATATTGAACCAGTTGCGATGGAGGTATTGAAGAACTTATGAATTGGTCCATTTTCAATGCACATTGTGTGATAAAATGATAATAGCATGTTTGTCCAATATTATCACTCATACGTTTTTCCACCACCTAAGAGAGAAAGGAAATCTCAAGACTCTTTATTTATTATTTCAGTCAAAACTTCATCAGAGATTCATCAAAGAATTATCATAAGCGTAGTGTATCCATTGATCTCAGCTCTCTGTTAGGAACCAATTGAAACATTTTACCTTTGAGTAAGCATGTAGTGCTATTTGAATATCTTTTGCTGCTTGAGCTTCATTGGAAACAGCTGTATAAGTAACTGAACTGGTGGAATTCTTAGCCACGGGCGTTGATCGTATTCTTGTACTACCAAAAGGCGAGAATGATGCAGCATTGATTTCACCATGTTCATCATTTTTCTTCTTGTTGTTTTCTTTGATATTGTTCACAGTGTCCATATAATAATGATTAAGTGTGAATACACGGCGTTCCATAGCGAGTAGTTCTTGTACACGTTCCAAAACAACGTTTTTTGCATCGTTTAGTTTTTTGACGATAATTTGTTTCAGACGTTCTTTCAAACGAGGGTAGTCATTATTGAAAGCCTGTTTGAATAACTCTAGCAAACATTTGTACATGTACTCATGTATCTGCTCGACCAATGCGTAACAGCAATCAGGGAATTTTTTTAATTCTTTCCGAAAAAGCCCTACAATAATTTGGTAACTAGGAAAATTTGGTAGGCTAACACCAGCTGTTCGATTGATCTCGCGAAGTACAATTTTATGGCATTCGTTTGAAAAAAAATCTGTAAAAAGGCTTTTAGCCTTAGTTTGAAAATTACGTTGTAACTGGTAAAAATGATAGGCAATGTGGCCTTCGTCATCCTCATCGGATGAAAGTTGCTCCTCTTCACATTCATCATCTTGAATATTCGAATCGATATCATTCTCAGAAGCGGATTCTACATCTGTAGATGCGGTCAACAATTGCGTACCCTCGGTTGACGCAACCTGATCGTACTCCCCTTTCACATTATCATGAATACTTTCTCGATAAGCATTGATCATCGATTGAAAGAATGTCCAACATTCAATCTCAGTATTCAAAGAAGCCGGGATCTTTTTCAGTTGGGTCTTTTTCTCAGCTATCTGTTTTCTTAGATCTTTGATAACACGAGGAAAAGTCGAACGAATGCGCTCTTGTTGAATGGTAGCCAAACGTTGAACCAATTGTTCACTACCTTTGAATTCGTCCGGTAGATGTTGAAATGCTTCTTTATGATTGATAAAGAATTGCTTTTCACGCTGTTTCATTGTGTCGAACGATATGTTCTGATCGATTTCATCTTGATTTCGATTGAGGACAGCAACACAGCCCAATTGAAGATCCATTGAACCTAATCCACGCCCTTGCAGTTTTTCTGCAACGCCTTTATCATACTTGTCAATTTTGGAAGCAGCAATCAGTTGTCGTTGACATGATTGATCGAATACTTTGGCCAATTTCATCGATTCTGATGTGGTAAAATCGACTGAAGCCGGGATGACATGTAAAACAATCTAAATATGTCTGATGATTAGTCAATATGAACTAAAGGTGCAAGAAATAGTAATGCATGAAGTTTTAGTACGTTTTCACAACGAAAGTAACTTAAAAACTCATCTATCTAACAGTGGTTAAACCTTTTATTGGCTTCAACGCACTTCAGACTGTGAGTTGAGCTCTTTATAATTAGTGTCAAAATCTATTGTTTTCGTCTTCTTATTGACAAGAATGTCAATATATCTCAGTTTCACGAATGCACATCCGTTTAATGAGCAAGGATTTCTCTCATGATGAATTGGTATTTGACGCATTCTCACTAAATAGACGTAGTGATTTGAATCAAAACGAATGGAAAATAAGTCTTTATGTATAATGATATTGAACAATAGTCTTGAATGCCGTAGCCCAGAAATGTTTCCATAACAATGTTTAATTCACTGCCTGCATTCCATAACATTGACCTTTTCATTTATTTTTTGTATTATTCCTAATACTAAATTAATCGATTAATACTAGCTATGAACAAATGTATTCTTGGAATCTAGGATCTTCTTGTTGCTATTAGGAAAATTCTATTTTGCTTTTTTATTTAGTGCTGTACTGCAAGGAAAACTACGCTACTATGCTAATATGGAATGATTGATATGCTTACCGCGGTTGGTGGTTCAATGTATTTATTGATTAAGTTCAGAATTTGGTCATAAATATTTTCTGCTTGACCAGACACTGCATTTCGTGTGATACCCGGAAGATCAATAAGGGTCAAGTCGTATAAAATATCACGCTTGAACACCGTTAAATAGATAGGATTCGGGCTGACATCAAATCCTTTACCGGCAATTTCTGATGTTAAGCGAGTGACCTCATCTGCAATCTTCGTCAAATCGTCAATACGCATCTCCGCAGTAGAGCCAACACTACTACGTATTGTTGCGTATTCCTTATCTTGAGCTGTTTTCATCCGTAATTCTAGTGGACAGCGAGTACAAATATTCTGTGCTCGCGGTAACTGAATACCAGATATTGCTTCCAGTACAGACGACTTTCCCACCGATTGATCACCAACAACCACAATTTCTGGTAAGGTTATTTTTTCTCCATGCAAGATTTCGCGCATCTTGTCAATAGCCAATAAAAGGCCACGGGATTCACTGCTGTTCAATTGCTCACTAAGCATAATGGTCGCACTTTAGTGTTGAGATGAACTAATATTGTTTCAGTGTTGAATAGTTTCTTATCATCTGTATTTATAGTATCAGTAATTCTGAGAAAAAAACCAGAGAAACACTTCTTTATCGTTTTATGATAAGCGGGGCAACCGCAGAAGAACGACACCCCCATTGTGTGAGAAATACAGAACAGCAGAAAAATTTATTGGTGTGCGAATATAGCCACTAGCTTTCGAAAAGAAAATATCAAGTATAGATGTCAGAAACGAGTATGAGACTTTTATTAATAAAAATATTAAAAACAGGACACGATGAAACAATTTGTGAAACTAAATTCTTAAATGGTTTACCGCCGAATTTTTCTCTCCACATAAGCTCTTCTAAATATAATAATAATAGAGTTCGATGTATTCCATTTTTGTGAAGCGCGATCTGAAAGGGGTGTTAAAGTGCAAATAGACAGAAATTTGCACCCCGTTCTAGGCGGTAACCGACAGAGTTCAGAAATGTCATAGACCATGACAGACAAATTCCAGAAGCACTACATATTATGACAGACAAGTTCATGAACGACTACTGATTGTAGACCATAAAAATCATATGAAAAACTTGCCAGCGCAGTAACTATAGGTGCCAAAATGTGGAGCTGATCTCCTCTGAATCCAATAAACTTATTTTATATTGTTAGAGAGACTAAGGTAATTTCTTTTTAACAAATGTGAAATAAGTCAAAATTAAAATTATTTTCATAATTGATACGGGCGCTTTGAATTTTCTTATTTAAAAAATATTCGCTTTGATATTTATTTTCCTACCGACTCCCAGGTCGATCGTTCAGGTCACCGGATACGGTATAGGAACCAGCCGGAAAAATCACCGTATTCCGGAGGAAAACACGGGAAGTCGCTGGAACGTGGAAGCAGTATTGCAATCGGAAAATTTTCAGAGTTTTTTCCCGATGATTTGCTATCGGTTCCTGCTGGAAAGCACTGGAAGTTGACCAGAATCCACCGGAAAAAATTCCTGGAATTTACGACCGAAATACTGCTTCCATTTTTCAGCGATTTCCCGTGTTTTCCGATCGCTTCCCGCCGTACCGCAACGACCTGGAATAATGAGATTTCTTCAGCATTGTTGTACTAAACAAATTTATATATATATATATATATTATCGTGTACATTTTGAATATTTTATTTTTTGTCCTTATCATACTATATACGCCGAATGGCATAAGAAATGATAAATATCAATCTACTCTTAGTTTTTTTGGTTTAACTACCATATTAACCTGTTATGTACATCGATTTAATCGTCCATTAAATCTCCGAGTCTACATTCCTTTCTTTGGTGTGGGTGCGGATGGGGGTGTGTACGTTATGATATGGTTCTTCTCTTAATCAACACCCACATCCACACCCTAATCCAATTTCGTGATCATAAACAAAAACTGTTCATTGAATGGAACTATTATTGAAATTTTTCGAATGTTATTAAATTTTATACTGCATATTGTCGTACACTCAGAAAAATCAAAGTAATAGGCAAACGTCCCTACGCAATCATATGACCAGTGAAAGTTAGCATGAGGGTAAGTTGATTTGCGTAAAATAGGAAAGTCAATGTAGAAATTATCAAAGGCATATGGTGAAGTATATAGATAGATATGTAAGTCCACTTCTGAATCTGTAAGCACATTGAACATACCAATAGTGTTCATTCAGTTAAAAAGGAAGTCCGAAACGAGTCTAGTATTTTTTCAATTACCTAGCCTACCTCTCTATTCTTATAGCGCAAATCTGTAAAACTAATTTTCACTTTCATTATTGTCAGTTTAGGCAAATGATTTTGAATAATTTCTTCCAAACCAAGGGCGAAAAAGCGGATCCTGGATCCTTTGATCCTGTGGATCCTGACCCTAATCCACTCTCCCCCGACGGCTCCCCGGGGACTCACCGCAAAATAACGAAATCCCTGGGGAGTCCCTGTCGTGAGTCCCCGGGGACTTTTTATTTGGGGGACTCCCCGGGGATTTCTCTGGGGAGAATTGGTGAAGTTTTTTAAAATTAAAAAAAAACTTTTTAATTTTTTTAAATTTTAAAAAATTTAGAAGAATTTATTAGTAATTAGATATTTCATCGATTTTGGTCATATAACTCCCCAGGGAGTCCCCTGAAAAGAACGAAATCCCTAGGGACTCCCTGGGGATTCTTCTAGGGAGAGTTGACTAGGGGATGGATCTTGATGAATCCTGATGGATCCTGTTGCTCTTAATAAAGGGTATTAGATTGCACAATATATTGACTGGAGTGTACAGAAATCTATTAGAAGCTACTCCAATCTACTAAATACGTCAGAGCCTACCACAATGCACCAAAACTGATTCGCTTTACAGCAATCTTCAAACAATGTAAAATACATGGATCCTGCTGGATTAGGAGTGTGTAGCTCACGGTCATGAGTGCTGATAAGCGTGAGCGTTTCTTCTCCAAATAGAATATGAAAGAAATCAGTAATAATGAACCCACTTTAGCTATATTCATATAAAAAGACATTATAGTATTTCAAACAGTTTCTTATCTAATATATTCAATCGGTGCATCTAAATACTTGTTACTCGATGAATTGACTATAAGCGCTAGAATAGGCTCATTAAAGTTTGGAAAATCATAGTTTCCGAATATTTGTTTCTTAAACTCGCTCATCTTACTACCGCAAACTGCCAAGGAACAAAGCTAGGATCTTATTATATATGTCTAGTAGGGGTAGCACATTATCATTATCAATACTAAGTAATAACTGTTATTTCGAATTAATAGTACTAACTAAAAGCCAGGAAAATTAATAAAGTAATAAGGAAGAAATAAAGCAATAAAGAACTTGATCGTGGAATCACTTCTATTCATCGATATATTTCTACTTTCTCATCACTACGACTACAACAGCTCTCATATCGTAGTTCAGATCAAATGAACGAAAGAACTGTTGAAACAGTTCTATTCACTGATTTGTCCACAATCGCTAGATTACTTGCATTCAATCACTAGTATTATTTGGGTCGTAATTAAGGGTAACCCCTTCGAGCCCTTATGTCCTATCTAGATGTGATCCCTGTGACTTTTGCATCCTGTCTGGAGGTGGTCCCCGTAAATTATGTGGATTTACACTGGAATGGTTCCTTTAGCTATTTGGGATCTACTTAAGAGTTGCCCTTATGAATTTTTCGGGTCCGCTAAGGATAGTACTTCAAGTTTGAAGATATCACTGCTGGAGAGTGACACGTTAAAGAGACGATGCTTATATGGGATTGAAAAAGTTATAGAAACTGCCAATAGTTACGAATAGGGTTATGCCCAGACGGAGAATTTTCATCTCCGTCTCAGTCGTCGTGGCCGAGATTTTGGTCTCGTTCTCTCTCGTTGGCGGCTAGCCTCGATTCCATTATTGATGAGTGTTGGTCTCGGTTCATCCCTAGTTACGACTGAATAAGTTATAAGAATTCCCTCCCACATTGCGCAAAAGGATACAAGGGATGCCACTATATATGTACTAAAATGTTGCACAGATCAACCCTACTCAGTCAGACCAGTAACGGAAAAAATCGACGTTTTTATGCGTTAAAAGCACACATTTTAACGCGTTAAGAGAATACTTTTTTGTGAGAAAAAAACGAATCGATACATGTTAATGCTTTTAAACTTGTTTTTAGTCAAAATAATTTTTTTTTAAACGCATTAGAATGTGAACTTTTTACGCATAAAAACGTCGATTTTTTTCGTTACTTGTCTGACTGAGTAGGGAGTTCTCACATAGTTCTAGTTACCATCCTGGAGTAGGTTCAGAAAGGTACAGGACCGCCCTTTGGTAGTTTCTTGAAAGTTCTAGGTATCATCTGTAAGTAGATCCCAAATCGCTAAAGGGACCAACCATGGGTAGGCGCTAAAACTTCTGACTACTCCCTCTGACTGAGTCCTTAGAATTTCTAAGTACCACCCATGGCCAGGCTCAAAGCACTGATAGGAGTATTACCCTTATGTGATTCTTAAAAGGTTCTGAGTATCACCTATAGGTAGGCTCCTAATAGTGATAGGGGCCAGTTCTGGTCTGATCTTGGAAGCGTCTAATACGATCTCCCCATAGGTCGCAAGTAGCTATACGAAATCGTCCTGTATAGATACTAAAAAATTCTAAGTAATATCTTTGGGTCGCTATTTATTACGGTAATAATTATTACACGTTATTACTTATCAGTTGCTGCTTTTATTAGTTTCAATTTTTTAAACTTTATTACTCGTAATAAATAATAAAAGTAATAATAATTAGGAATATACCGCTGACGCTCATGAGCGTAAGCTGTGCACTCCAATATTGCAACCTACTTGATTTTTAAGTATCGAAAATCCTACGACCAATTCCTCCTTTTCCCGATCAGACTTTTTGGATCCTAGTGGATCCTAGGATTCGCTTCCCCCCCTCCTTGTTCCAAACGGTGCCCTTTCAAACGGTGGTGGAGCCAGGGAGGGACTGAGGTGTGGGTGTCGCTCAATGCAGAATACCACCCTAATAGTCACAGCCACATACATTCTTTTCTATTGTATTACCTTCCTTCTTTTATTTAAAAACGCATAATGGAAGCTGAGAAAAAATTGTCGTCAGGAATTTTTTCCGAATAATTTAAAAACAAAATGTAATTGTACTGGTCTTGCAGTTCCATAATATTGACATAAGTATTACAATAAACATATGACAGACGAGAGGCAAATATTTCTTAGGAACGATTGGCTATCTGCAGAACATATTTTTTAGTAAACAATGCCATCATTTTTCAAAGTAATGTTTCATGTAACTATCGATTGCTAGTCGATTACTTTATTCTTCTGTATGTTGACATCAATCAAAGAATGTGTGTGCTCACATGTAGTTTATTTTTAAAGAAAAAGAATTCAACTAGCGGTTTTGCTTTTCGTCTCGAGTGTGTGGGTGTGGGTGTAGCTATGAAAAGAGTACTCC